GACGTATATTATTGGATTCTGCCACAGTCCTTCACCCCGAATACAACACACAAGTTCTTTGTGACAAATAATATTAAACGTAAACAACAACAGACTCTTAGAACAACTTAACAAGGAATGAATACAATTGGGACAACGCGCTTGAAGAGCGCGACAGAAAAAAGCTTACACGCATGAGCGAGTTGATTAAAGTGTTTACATGTAATGATGCACAAGGTAGACACTAATAAACTGGCGTAGGCTATTTTGCTTTATTGGTAACAAGATCAGAAAAAAATAGATTCGCACAGATTGTGGCAAATTGAACTAGCAATGAAGAAGCTTTTTTACTAAGTAGTAGGTAAGAATCGCAAAGAGATAACCATAAACTCGAAAAGTCCTCTTGCTTGATTTCAAAGCAAACTTGTTGGCACACATAAGCAACTATGTCACCAATAAAGCCAACATAACTGTATTATGGGCATTAGGAATTTACAAATAAGCTTCCGCAGTTATATGATATCGACGGTCTATCTCGCAGTCTAGCGAAATTGCCCGTCTGCAGGTTAGAAGACCTACCAACGAGCTATTCTGACTAGTAGATTCAAAATTTCATTATGATCAAACAATTCACACACACTCAAAGTGAATACACCCCGAGACCGAAAATAACCTATTCAGGTAATAAAACTGAGGTGAACGGGGAATTTTCTTTCAAGTGGAAAGTATGCAAATGAAGTCGCTGTATAATCAATTTCTAGCCTTGTGTCTTGGCCCCACTTGAACTGCTTCTAGCTCCCTTGAGAACCGGTTGAGAACCATTGTTCTAACCCGATATAAAATGGAAATTCTATTTTGACGTGCCCACCCGACCTTGGTCCAAAATTTATATATTGACTTTTTGAAAATTTTAATCACATTTTTGAATTGTTTGACAAAAAAAATATGTCACATATCACAAACAACAATATAATATTTGACTCCGCGCACCCCCAAGCTGCAAAATAAGCAGATATTGCCGCGTCATTCTTACCGGCGTTTTGCAAAGATTGACTCGTTCTTCTGGCTTTCGTTATGTAATAGCAAAATTTCAAATTTTTTCGACTGTGCGTTTTTCTTTACTTAAAGTTAAGTATTTCGGGATGGGGAAGTTAGCATATTTTTCTGTGTTATTATTCACGACGTTGATCGTCTGTTATGCTAGTTAGGTACCGTATGGAGTCGAAATAGGCTGAAGTTGTGCCGAATTCCGGTACCGGTACCGTAAAAGCGCCTAACTTCGGACAAAATTACTATACTTTCGTCAATAACTCGGCCATTTATTGTCCAAACGGTGCCAAAATTGCTCGGTAAAACATTCGTGCGGTAATTTACATTCCCTGCAAATTTCGGTTCAATTGGACTATTTTTACTATTGAAATAATCGATATTTCTTGCCATCTGACCGTTATCCTTCACTGCCCTAACTTCGGACAGTCATTTTCTTCACTGCGTAACCGCGACGCACAGAGAGAAAGAGGCTTCCGATGCGGATGACGTAATCACGTCGTTGCGTGAAGATAAGACGCTCGATCGTCGTCGTAACGTAACATTGACGTCACGACGAAAATGCATTATTTGAAACTTCCGTCGTCCCATGTTTACATCTTTCGTTCGTTATTTTCGATACTTCCGATGAGTATAATAACACGTTAGTCATTTTAATCAGGAAATACATACGTAAATATATCTGATGCGGCCCGTTTCAATCCACAATTAAGTATTTTAACGGGCTTCTATCGAAGTCTTTGAAGTATTAAATATTCTCGACAGATAGCTTTTTTTATTCTGCGCGGTTATCTTTATAAATGATAATTTATATCAAACACAAGGTAAATCCGATTGTAAAGTTTAATTTAAAATTCAACTTAATCTTGTAAACATGTAGGTCCCGTTTATTTGTTGGAGATTAAATTTATTTTTAATTTCGAGTGAATAAAATTCACCCAGGCCGTATTCAATAACTGTCATTTCGACTACTAATCATAAAATAATGGTTAAGTCAGTGCACTGTGCCATATGGACGTTGGAATTATCATAGTTTTATATATTCGATTTTTAACGTCATCGATTAAGTGTGACATATATTTTCATTAATGTAATTTTGGCATATATTCATACATGACCGAACAAAATACAAAAATATTACGTTGGAACGCCGTCTTATCTTAACGGAAATTGTCATATTGGCTCCGTTGTGTCTGGCGTCAAAATTCATTTCCGCGACGCAGTGTGACGTCGTTTCGGAAGTGAGCGAAAAATAATCTACGTGAGGTTGACGTAATTTTTGACGCTGCGTGAAATCTTAATATTCTTACGGAATTTATAATTCAGAATTTTAGGTTTTATTTAAATCTCGTACGACATCTTGCGATCACTCAAATAAATTATATACATTGTTGTCGCCCTCTACCGAATGATGGTATTTTGACGACGATAGCTTCAGTAGGAGCGACGCTCTGCGCCGTTGAATGCCGGGCAGTCAATTTTAGGCAAAATTTCCGTTTTTTTACCAAAAAAATAATTATGCAACATTAAAAAAAATGAGAATAGATGTAGATATAACAGCGCAACCTATAATAATTAAAATTAGCAATATACGGCGCGTTTTAGCCAAGATATGGCCGTTCAAAAATTTTGTCCGAAGTTAGGGACTGTCCGAAGTTAGGCGCTTTTACGGCCGTAAAAGCGCCTAACTTCGGACAAAATTACTATACTTTCGTCAATAACTCGGCCATTTATTGTCCAAACGGTGCCAAAATTGCTCGGTAAAACATTCGTGCGGTAATTTACATTCCCTGCAAATTTCGGTTCAATTGGACTATTTTTACTATTGAAATAATCGATATTTCTTGCCATCTGACCGTTATCCTTCACTGCCCTAACTTCGGACAGTCATTTTCTTCACTGCGTAACCGCGACGCACAGAGAGAAAGAGGCTTCCGATGCGGATGACGTAATCACGTCGTTGCGTGAAGATAAGACGCTCGATCGTCGTCGTAACGTAACATTGACGTCACGACGAAAATGCATTATTTGAAACTTCCGTCGTCCCATGTTTACATCTTTCGTTCGTTATTTTCGATACTTCCGATGAGTATAATAACACGTTAGTCATTTTAATCAGGAAATACATACGTAAATATATCTGATGCGGCCCGTTTCAATCCACAATTAAGTATTTTAACGGGCTTCTATCGAAGTCTTTGAAGTATTAAATATTCTCGACAGATAGCTTTTTTATTCTGCGCGGTTATCTTTATAAATGATAATTTATATCAAACACAAGGTAAATCCGATTGTAAAGTTTAATTTAAAATTCAACTTAATCTTGTAAACATGTAGGTCCCGTTTATTTGTTGGAGATTAAATTTATTTTTAATTTCGAGTGAATAAAATTCACCCAGGCCGTATTCAATAACTGTCATTTCGACTACTAATCATAAAATAATGGTTAAGTCAGTGCACTGTGCCATATGGACGTTGGAATTATCATAGTTTTATATATTCGATTTTTAACGTCATCGATTAAGTGTGACATATATTTTCATTAATGTAATTTTGGCATATATTCATACATGACCGAACAAAATACAAAAATATTACGTTGGAACGCCGTCTTATCTTAACGGAAATTGTCATATTGGCTCCGTTGTGTCTGGTGTCAAAATTCATTTCCGCGACGCAGTGTGACGTCGTTTCGGAAGTGAGCGAAAAATAATCTACGTGAGGTTGACGTAATTTTTGACGCTGCGTGAAATCTTAATATTCTTACGGAATTTATAATTCAGAATTTTAGGTTTTATTTAAATCTCGTACGACATCTTGCGATCACTCAAATAAATTATATACATTGTTGTCGCCCTCTACCGAATGATGGTATTTTGACGACGATAGCTTCAGTAGGAGCGACGCTCTGCGCCGTTGAATGCCGGGCAGTCAATTTTAGGCAAAATTTCCGTTTTTTTACCAAAAAAATAATTATGCAACATTAAAAAAAATGAGAATAGATGTAGATATAACAGCGCAACCTATAATAATTAAAATTAGCAATATACGGCGCGTTTTAGCCAAGATATGGCCGTTCAAAAATTTTGTCCGAAGTTAGGGACTGTCCGAAGTTAGGCGCTTTTACGGTACCGGTATCGTTAAGGTTATTTTAAATCTTTCCCTAATGATATGGCGAACCGCAACCTCTGAACCTATCGCGCAGTTACCATACTATCTTACTGTACCAGTGTACTGTATTACGGTACAATACTCAAGACCGGTAACGGAATCCTGTTACTGTGTTAGTTCTGTACCGTAGTCTAGTTAGTTAGCCTCAGATGCATAGGATAGGATTTACATATTTATCCCGGGGAAGAGGGAAGGAGATAAGACGGCTTATTAACCATATGGCGAACCACGGCGTATCTTCCGGCTGTCCGGTTACGATAGGGTGGTGTAGCCAGTCTGCGGACGATTTCATTCAAACCGGTATAAAACAAAAACCAATATTTCTAACCAGTTAATTTTTTCACAGTAGGTGCATTGGCATTTATTCCACACGCTAAACCTCAAATTAACTTTCTACGACCAGGGGTTGAAGCTATACAAACCTCCAAAGGACACACTTGGAAGACGTATTTGCGACCAAACGACCAGTGTGCGACCATGGATTTCAAGCCTTGAACATTGTTTCTGCTGCGTCGAGATTAGGGCATACGCAGCCATGCGTGAAAAAAATAGGCTTCTAGTTGCATTTCTGACTGTCATATATTTTAAGAACATGGTTATTTCGAACAAAATTCGTCAAATTATAAACAAAACACCGCATCCCAGCAATCAAACAGACATAAACATGGTAGTCGCAAATTGGTCGACAAAGATATTATCGACGTATTGGAAATGCGCACCCCCTTATTCCCCCTCCTTTAAATGTAGAAACGCGAAACTTTAAAGATGGTTAAAAAAAAACACAACTCTACCCACCTGCCAAGTTTCATCTTATTATCTCTTATATTTGTATGGATTCTCAAGCTTTTTTAAAGGAACAATTGGTAGTTGGTGACATGGAAAAATGGTCCGTTTTTTTTCTTCGGTCGGGTTTTCGGTCGTAACTATTTTGTTTGTTTGCGCATTTTAGTGTAATTTCGTAGAGCTACGAGGGATGAGTGGACGATAACGTGTGAGAAATATCGTCGCGGTTCATTATTTTTTCGGCACTAATTTAATCGATGAAGTTGATGGTCGTGGCCGCAAAGTGGGTAAGCTACCATTCCATGTCGGGTATGGGATTAGTTAGTTATTTGATTTACCGAAGCATAGACTTACAGACTTAATGGTGGAGGAAGCCTAACCGACCAGTGGTTACGTGAACCACCCTACGGCAGCGAGGAGTCAAGCAATCCTCTCGCACATATCCATCCCGCATCAGAGGGAGTAATTAGAGGTGCGGTGGCGAGCGTATTCCTAACGCAGTAATGCTCAGCACTGGAGCACGATGATCCACACCGCCGCGCCATTGACATTATCATAGTATTATGATGGGGGAAGCCATAACCAAACAAGTTACCTGAACCACAGTGAAGCAGTATGAAAATGACAAGTCCAGCAATAGTCCCGCTAAGGATTGTTGTTTGACACAGTCTATCAGTATTAAAGACAGAAAATTTTTGACCCTAGGGCAGTAGGGATTTAAAAAAAAACACAGTTATTCATTTAAAATGCATTTATCCGAAGTAAATTAACTAAATTTAGAATTCTATTTTACAGATTTTGGATAAAGTTATGTCGCTGGATTTTGCCAATGAACTTTTCCATTCCAAGATCTCATGCAGTTGTGTTTGTGCAGATGGATATGAAGTTGCAAATTTAATCAGCAAGAACTGTGCGGAGAGAAATAAAGGATTCCAAGGTGACAGTGTTATTCAGTCCTTAGGGATGGCTCTAATTGAATAAATCACTTTAAAAAAATCCAATTTTATTCAATTAAACATTAGCAAATTTTGAAAATGTGTAATATTCCATATTAAAAATATTATTAGTGTATCCTATGTATTAACCCTCTTTTTTCGCAGGTCCGGATCGACTTTTTATACCCCTTTTATAATATGACATAAATACATTTCCCAATATCTAATTAGAAAGCTTATTCTCGCCGCTTCCTACCAAAACCCGCCCAAATTATGTAGCGGAAACGCGCGACCATACGCCGGTAAGAGGAGAGAAATTTCAAAAATTTTGAGAAAAAGTTTCTCACTTTTAACGCTCTGGTTCACACATTATCGATATGCGAGAGAAAGAGTTCTCTTTTGGACGAGCTTTATTCACCATCAAAAAAACACGAGTGGGCTTTTGAAGTGAAGTCGTATTGGTTTCATGGAAGAGCATTTGATCGCGTGTCGTCTGGTATCTTTGTTTGTTCATTATGTGCTGGAGAACGTGGCTCGCGCGTTCAAAATACTTCGCGTAAATAACAACATATTTTTTTGTTTATTTTTAAGCTTTGAAATACTCATACAAATAAAATTGATCTTGTAGTAAAATGAAAATTATAGGCCTACGACGTCACCGTGGTTAAAAACACTCGGATCAAGCATGGATCATAGTTGGATGCCTAAAATGATTTTAGTTAGTGCGGGAATACTTCACAACATAAACGTAAAAAAGCCCGAAAATAACTATTATTGTCATATTATGACCAAGGATGGCGGAGTGTATGTGAGATGCGGCAAAAAAGAGTTAAGAGTATATTCCAAATAGGTATGTGCTATGAACATGCTCGTCATCACACTTACGATTATCCTGCCGCTGGTTCATGGGGTCAGATCCTGTCGGCGATTTTATGTGAAAAAACTCATCTGATGTAGGGTTTATGTAACACTTGTAATTTACAAGTCCATGTCTTCAAAGCATATATATATGATGAAGCTTTCTTATCGGCTTTCCTTTCCCCCTAATGAATATGAAAATTCTATTTCACAGGCGAAAGGTTCGTGAGGACACCAGTAATTCTACAACTACAATTCTACGTTCCTATATCAATACATAAGGTGGAATTGACGCCTTATATCGGCAAGCAATGTTGCAAAGTTATTCAACTATATGTATCTAACACGTACCCTCTTGGGGAAAAGAACGAAACAAACACAAATATGAATTTCGATTATAATGATGAACGTTTTCGAAGAACTGGAATTGCGAATTTATTGGAACCTACAATTCTGACTTTTGTGAACCGCGGTTATCACCCACACCCAAGAATAGACTTTCATCCTAATGTTACGAATGGTGAAATTGAATTTACTCGAGGGAATTTGAGTTTTGTGACTTCGATTAGAATTATAGTTCGACAAATGCTGCATGGGAGTATTCCATCATTGAAATCTTTACGAATTTGGGGCCGACCTTCGAAGTCATGCTTAAAAGAACATTATAACGAAATAATGCAGATGCAAAATAATTTATCAAAAAATGTACAACCTAGCCATAATATAAACTTATTCAATTCCGCCAACAATTTGGGATTGAAAGTAACAGAGAAGGACTTAAACGAACAAGAAACGGAATTAAACTTTAAAGATGAGCAAAAACCAAATCCGAACTTCAACCCCACGGAACCAACCACTTTTCCACGAGAATTCTTAGATCCATTGACATGTGAGCGCATGAAGTTACCGGTATTACTTCCTAGCGGACATACCGTTGACCGGACAACTCTTGACAAGCATATAAAATCACAGCATGAAATGGGGAACATACCCTCCGACCCTTTTACTGGAATTCCTTTTACTGAGGCATCCAAGCCTCAACCGAACGTAGAATTAAAATTGAGATTGGATGCTCATTTTCTTAAAACTGCAAAAGATTGTAATGGAAATACACTATGCAATGAGCCAGAAAAGAGTGCATTAACCACAAATGTGTCTTCAAAACTTCAAGAGTGTGATAATAGCACTCAATGTAGTAGCAAAGACATTTGCCAAGCTTCTGGAAAAAATACACCATGCAATATTCCTCAAAAAAGAACGCTAGTCCTTAACGAATCCTCAAAACTTCAAGAGTGTACTGATAGCACTCAATGTAGTAGTACATCTGAGAGTCGAACACAAGCGTTATGTGCATCTACAGCCCAAAATGACATTTCGAAACTTTCCCATACAGAGCTATATAGCTCAAATTTTTTACCTCAAAAACGAAAATTGAATCAACCTTCAGCCACCTCTTCCAATCACCTAAACCAGCTTTCAACCAGTTTAAATACATCTCTAGCTTCTCTAAACAACCCCCAAAATAGCAAAAAAAGAAAATTAATTGCTCTAAACACAGAAACTACCACCTCAAATCTTTATTGCTCAAAATGCAACATATTTTTATCATCCACTGTAGTGCAATACAGGCTACAGTGTTCCCATATTATTTGTTCTTCCTGTTTGCGGAACACTAACAGAAATGCTGCTAACAATTTTACTTGTAACGCTTGCTATTCTATATGTGAGTATAAGTATATTGAAAGGGTGCATTTTTAGTTTTTTTTGGAAGTTGTTATTCAAGTGAGTGATCCAATAATTTAGAGATTATACTTTTTGTAAGCGTGATGGCCTCCATCATTTCATACATGGGGGCTCCCGAAGTATGCGAACCAAGATGCCGGACATCGGAATGTAATATGTGTACTAGGTTAGGGTTAGGCCATAATTTTAGGTATAAATACTACGGGAGGCTCTTGGCTAGTCTTCAAACCGATAATAGGACTAAAATGAGGAAAATTGGAAAAAAATTATCGCCTAACCCTAACCTGTTACCCATGTTACGTTCCAATGTCCGACAACTTGGTTCGCATACTTCGGGAGCACCCATGTATGATACATTAAGTGGGTCGACAATGCTGAACTGAAAAGATTCTGGGCTTTTCAAATAATGGTAGTTCAATACATATTAGTGGTACAGAGCCGTGTTTGAAACGAAGGCATATAAAATGTCACACAAAAGAATTATTTATATTTGCACTTTTATTATGCGTAAATTTATAACTTATTCAACTTTTTTCTTTTCCCCTAAAACCATTATTTGTTATTCTCATGCCTAGGCTGGCGAATGAAAATAACATGAACTTCTGCTTTATACTCCCCCCAGGAAAAGCAGTAATCTCATACGTAAGAATTTTTCAATTGAGACAAAGTTTTGGCAATTTTCCTGAATTTCAGGTGGTAAATGAAAAACAACATGCAATTATTAAGCTATCTCATCCTCTTTATACTCCCCCCAGCGACAAGCGAAATTCTCATACGTAAGAATTATTCAATGAAGACAAAGTTTTGGTAATTTTCATGATTTTCCAATTGGGCATGAAACTTTTTTGTTTGGTAAGTGTACTGAAGGTAAATGGGTTGGGCAGGGTTAAAACCTTACCTGAAGTTTTGACAACTTTCCTAGATTTTTGTCCTGTGTGATGTATTTTTTTCTACCAATAAACGTTTATCTAACTTCAATTTTTTGCATTTTCTATCATAAAGCCTAATGTAACATATACCAGTATCATCATGCTTTCCAAAATGACTACCACAACGCTACGAAGCATAAATAACATCCAAAAAACAAACGGAATACAAAACTATATCGGAATACTTTCAAGGCAATTCTCAATGTCGTTTTCCGTATTGAAACCAAAAACCGGGATTATGATGCTTAACCTTGGAGGCCCAGAAACTCAGGACGATGTGCACGACTTTCTTTTAAGATTATTTTCTGATAAAGATCTCATTCCCCTACCAGCTCAGGATAAACTTGCTCCGTTGATTGCGAAACGAAGAACACCAAAGATAAAGAAACAATATATGGTGAGTTTTTTATATGCTCCCAAGTGGTTGTCGAGTGAGTGCTTCTAACTTTGCTCAGAGATGAGTCTCTTTTACTTCTGGTTGAGCGACCATAATTTTGCTTAGAGATAAATCTCCTTTAGATCTGACTGAGTACCTTTAACTTTGCTCAGAGATTAGTCTTCTTTTCTTAGTGAGTGCCTTTATCTTTGCTTAGAGATGATTCACTTTACTTTTGAGTGAGTGTCCGCAACTTTACTTGGAGATGAGTCTCTTATTGAGTGAGTGCCCGTAACTTTACTTAGAGATGAGTCTCCTTTTTCTTTGAGTGAGGTCCCGTAACTTTGCCTAGAGATGAGCTTCTTTTTTTCTGATTGATTGTGAGTGAGTTATTTGTATTAATTTAAAGGTTGCCAAACCAGAAACCTTGACAGTCGAGAATCCACTATTTTGGTTATATCAAACTCTCAGCTCATCCAAATTACAGATCTATTTTATCATTTTCGTATTTAATTTTTTCAGGAAATTGGCGGAGGATCTCCTTTACGACGCTGGACAGATTTACAAGGCACAGAAATGGTCAAAGTTCTTGATAAAATCAGCCCAGAGACGGCGCCACATAAACATTACATCGGATTTAGATACACAAAGCCATTAACGGAAGAAGGAATAGCACAAATGGAACAAGACGGCGTAGAAAGAGCGATAGCTTTCACACAATACCCACAATACAGCTGCTCTACCACAGGTAGTAGCTTGAACGCCATATATAAATACTACCAAAACAAACCAAAATCTAGGATGCAATGGAGCGTTATCGACCGCTGGCCGATACATGATGGACTCTTGAGCGCTTTTGCGAAAAACACTGCCGAAGCTCTGAAGAAATTTCCCGAAGATAAACGTGATTCTGTCGTAATTCTTTTTTCCGCTCATTCATTGCCGATGTCCGTTGTAAATCGTGGCGACCCGTATCCAGCAGAGGTCGCTAGTACTGTATCTGAAGTCATGCGGAAATTAAATTTCAGTAATCCCTACCGCCTCGTGTGGCAATCTAAAGTTGGGCCGTTACCGTGGCTCGGCCCGCAAACGGAAGATTCAATTAAAGGTCTATGCGCACAGGGCCGCAAAAATATTTTGCTTGTGCCAATCGCTTTTACGAGCGACCATATCGAGACACTTTACGAATTGGATATAGAGTACATGGGTGAAGTAGCTGAAAAAGCTGGGGTAGAACAAATAGTGCGAGCTGAATCGTTAAATGCAAATGAAATTTTCGTGAATGCCCTCGCTGATCTGGTTAAAGGTCATTTAGAGGTCGGGGAGAGGCATTCTAAACAGCTTCCTCTGAGATGCCCAATGTGTGTTAACCCTGTTTGCGGTAGGGCTAGAGAGTTTTTTCACAGTGGTGGGGGGACTTTATAAACGTCTGTAAACTGCTGCCATATGGTTCTTTTATCCCGCCAAAACAGCATATAGTTCAATCTTTTCAGGGCTTAAAAATGCAGTGACTTGTTGGGGCGATGCAATGGGTCATATCGAAAATTGCATGGGTGATATGGTTGCCACCAGTTACATTTTTGTTGGCCAAACTGAATCATCTTCACTAATTCAACCTTATATCAAAGACCTCACTTTCTCAGAAATGCACGCTGTGATGACCGCAGGATTTGGCACAATAGCTAGAATGTTTTGGGTGCATATCTGAGGTTTGGAATTAAAGCCGTTTATGTCATATCGAATATTCGAATGGAAATATTGTCAAGAAAAAGTAAATAGTTACTTCTATATTCGTAATTTATTTTTTATGTGACAATGCAAGTTTTCCAATTTATGCAGTTATTTGTTCCACTCCGTGATGAAAAATCGTGCCTCGCCAAAATAGCATTCCCGCCACCACCTCACCCAGTGTAATAAATCGTATAGAACCAGGGGTTCTCAACCTGGGGTTCGCGGGGAGTTTTAATGTGTTGTCATTTTTTAATACCCTTTACTACCAAGGGAAATGCAGGCCGATTGGAACTCAGCGCAGATTTTCCTTGATTTTGTGCTGTTGTGGCGTAACAACACGAAGATTTAATCTAGTTACTGTAGGTATGGTAGCAAAAGAATTTTGTAGCAAAAACTAGGGGTTCTGGTTGATTGTTTCATGGCTTGGGGGGCATTTAGGTTGAAAACCTCTGTTATTGACATCGCTAAACTGGGAAGATTCTCTCTTTAAATAACAGAAATATGCCTTTTGCATATTGTTGGATATCAGTGGCTGCCAGTTTAGGCTGAATTATCTTGTACATTTATAGGATTCCCTTCCTCCCCCCATGAATCGATTTGCTTTTGTCTCTGTGACCAATGGAAACTTTTCAATATCATATTTTAGCTTCAAGCAATTTGAATTTGCGTTGGGAAAATGAAAATAAAAACACAAACAATTCTTTTAATTTTTTGATGCAAATACACAAATATAATCGTTATATTATTGCTTTATTTATTATACATGAAGTAGAAAATATGACTCTGATTGAGTGAAATCCTACCGAACTTTGACCCCAGAGCCTGCCATTCCAACATTGTGAGGAAGTGTAACTAACAAATTATTGTTGGTATTTTTATTTCTACATTTGACTAGAAAATGTATTAGTATTTTTTTATTGAACATTGCTATAAACGTATGTAGTGCATTATTATTTTTGGTGCCCTTTTCCTTTGTTTTATACGGGTGGACCACCACATACTCGTCTTCCCGTTAACTTGAACTGTTTCCAGCTCTCCTACCAATCGGGGTTTACTGTGGTGTAATGTACCACTATAAATACCCAGGTTCAGTCAAAAAAACGACACCATTTTTACATTCAGACTATTTTTGAAACGAGAACATTTTTTTTTTGGGCGCCCTGTAAATACTGTAGTTTCGGTTGCTCCTAGCATTTTAGTAGAGTTTCTAGTATGCTCAGACGAGTTCTCACTTCTGATGGATTTCAAATATTCATTGATGTTGAAAGTGTCCCCTTTGGAGACATTCGGTATCCTTTTAAAACCAGTCCGGTGGCCAAATTAGTCATTCTTTCATTGATTTTCGTGCCGTTGCTCGGAGTGAAAGAAACGTCCACGGCAGGGGTGCCAACACGGGGCACGCGTGCCAAATTTGGCACGCCTAACGCTCAAACGTGGCACACAAACGGTTTTGTAAAAAAAAAAATTTATGGTATACATTAAAATATCACGTTTATATCAAAATCAGCAGTTTTTCAGGACAATAAATTGTTTCAATAAATTGATATCTGTTATTATGTATTATTATTATTGAAATTTGTTTGTTTTGCGGGAGTTAATTTACAATACCACAATTATCCTCATTTGTGTTGTGCCCCCTGGTCTACGGTACTTTATATTCTTTTATATCTCTATATCATTCTATGTTTGGAGAAATGCTTATGACTTAACTTTACACAACAATTTTAAAACGTAAGCAATGATTATTTATTTTCGGTGACTTTTGTTCAATTTCTTTGCCATTGCTTGTTTCTCCAAAGAATCGATTATGAAGCAATAAATGATGAGCAAAATGATATTTCAACTATATCGAGATTTTAATGGTGAAATATAATAGAAAATGAAATCATAGGAGGTTGCTATTCCATGTCGGGTATGTTGATTATTTGTTTTTGGAAGCATGGACCTGATGGTGGAGGAAGTCGCAACTGACCAGTGGTTATGTGAACCACCCTATCTATGTCTGCGAGGAGTCCAGCAAATCCCTCGCACATAATTATGCCAGCATCCGAACCTATGCAGAGTAATCAGAGGTGCGTATTCCCAACGCTTAGCACGATGAGCCGCACCCTGCGTTCACAATCTTTCACTGGTTTATTTATACGTGTTGGATAGAATTCCCTAAACCGCGAGTGGAGTCATGAATCGTTGAGTATCAACTTATTAGGTGGAGTCGGTCATTAAATTTCAAGTCTCACTAGTTAGGAGAGGAATAACGATGAAAAGACTCAATTATACTACGAACCACGGCTTCTTATCCGGTTACCGGTTCATGGGAGTCAGCCAGTTCTCAGATGTAGGGAATTGATGTTGGAGGAAGCTGAACCAACCAGCGGTTACGGAAACTATCCTACGGCGACGAGCAGTCCAGCAATCCTCACGCACAAGATTATCCTCCACGGGAAACCTGCAATCCGACATTCAATTAGATGACACAAATCAATCATATAAATGGTGGCTGGGCCGGGTCAATGGATTGCTTTAGCCGCTCGAACGACCTGATAGGTACTCGAACAATTTGGTAGACTAGTTAAAAATGCTGTGGTTGTTCAGCGAAAGTTGGTGCTCGAACACCCTAGCGCGCCGTCTAGATTAGTGGTTCCCAACCGCCGGTCAGCAGAGGTTTTTTACCTGTCCGGGAGGCATTTTGTTGTCTTACTCCTGGCGACTACTTGGTTAACCAACAGGCGAAGTTGCGTTGGTTTATTAAGAGATTTCTTAACAGTTGTCATACTGTGTGTCTGATAAGTGCGGTATTAATTTCCCTGACTTTTGAGTGATCTCGCTTTTCCGATCCCGTTGCGAGAAAGTGCCTTGTTCAATATCGCGAGTGTCAAAAATCTAAAAATATATACGTGTTTCAGCCCACCATTAATGTGAACAAAGCTGCATAAGTATGCCCATTTGTGCAATCTATACATGGGTGCTAAAATCTGCGGGTACACAAATGACCGTGGGTGCAAAAGTATACTGATGCAAATGTACGGGGGTGTTAACATAATGCAACCATTTCAGTCTACAAAACACTACACTAACTTATGAGGGAGGGCGAATATTTGGAAAAGTCTACGCTAGGTGACAGTATAGAACAACGAAATTCATCAATGTGGTCTCTGATGATTGACACCAGATGATCAGGACATTCCATCTAATTTCAACCTAATTCCGAATTTTTTTTCAGTTCATCAAATAATATTATGCAACATCAACACACCTACGAACTTTTTAGTAATACTTCAAATAATATTGTGTAACTATCAACCCGTTTCCCATCCAATTTTGTATTTTGTGGAACTTCAACAGCAGCCACTATGTGGCAACAATGAGCAATATATATTTAGGTATCCATGGCGACAAAATTGTTATTTCCGCCTACATTTTTAGGTATCAGGGAGGTAAAGTACTGAAAGTGCAGGCAATACTTTGGGATCCTTGACCTTATTGATATAGATCAAATTCACTATTATTTGAGGCTCTTGATATACAACAACCTAATTTTATCTTAAAAAGAAGGTTATTATTAGGATAGGATAGAAGAGAATGTAAATAACCTGAGGAAGAGGGAGGCCAATACCACCTCTTAATCATTTGGCGATCCACCCGTGACCAGTACATGTCAGGTATGATATCAGTTAGCCAGTTATTTGATTTTAGATGCATGTACTTGATGGTGGAGAGAGTCGCAACTGACCTGCGGTTCCTGGGTTATGTGAACCACTAAGGTGGTTCTACGGTCCTCTCATGATTATCCATCACAGAATTCAAACCTGCAAACCCGTGCAAGATAATCAATGGTGGCAAGCAGTTTTCTAACGCTCAGCACAATGTGCCACACCTCTGTGCAGAAATTAGGGCTTGCCATTATTTTTTTAAGTGTTTTTTTCCTGTTTTTTATGACTCACCTCTCTGTGTTTATCTTATTATCCCAACCCAATATAAACACAAATAAGAAAATGATTCAAATAACTAATGATGGAGCAATAACAATAAATTGTTTTGAAAGTGACCCAGAGTTTACCACTTATCAGTCATTGCCTGCAAAAAGTCTTGATTAGAGTATAGCTGTAAACCCAAAACACCATTAAATGTTTGAAGTGGCAAAATTGGTTTAATTTATTGCAATTGCAACAAATTTATTATTATTATGATTTCAGAATAAAAATGGAAATTTTTCCAGGACACAGTAAAAATTTTGATACATATTTGACTTCTTGTAAAAGGCTTTTTGAATCGAGTGGCTAAGCTCTACCTATGTTAGCACCGCAGGTTAAAAATGTCAGGTTCAAACCATTCACACTTTTAAATAGGAAAGATTTCAAAAATTGTATATCAGTAGAAGAATATACAGAGCCTAGTTCATAGTGAAATGTAAGAAAAAAACACCAAATAGATGTTCTTGTTATTGGTATGAAAAGGTCCAGGTGCTATAAGATAGTTGTCACCATAGTGTGGGTTTGGTGTTGGGTCGCCTTAAATATTTAGGGGGCCGTCGCGTGTCTGGCGTTGTATTCTTGTTTTATATTTTCATTATTCTATTGCAATATTCTTAATTAGAGTAATATCTTTTATAATAGGAATATTGTGTGACAACAATAATTTAAATTGCTGCACAAAAAATGAGATTTTACTGTTATTAGTTTTTAGTGGTTTGAATAATTTTAATGATTTTTTTTTTTTGTATTTATATACCTTGGGGTCACAAGTGCTTATCATACGTCATAATTTTTTTAATGAGGGCGCGTGTCAAAATGTTTGGCGATCACTGCTATAAGATACTGTTTTGAGCTTTGGCAAGAAGTAAAGCAGGCACAAGATTTCAAAATCATGCAAATCTAATGTATTTTGCCTTCTGTTGAAAGACTAAAGGTGCGTTTACACTGGATGTGACATGACATGCGTCCGAGATCGCTCGCATTGTTTTAAATGACGGCATTTACAGGCAAACCCAATATTTCAACTTTACTTCACATGGATCAAATGAGTGTCCATATTGTGCGTGTCATCTGGACATTGTGGCAAGTACATGTTTAAAAATAGGGTAATTTCATCTGGAATTAGGATTGTTAACATGGTTTCATCATGTGCATATATTTTGGCCTTGCTCTTTTGTTTACATTTATTTACATTGAAGATTATATATTTTTTGCATTTCAACACTAGATTCTTGCTCTAAAAATATAATTTAGAAAGTATGTTTTATAACGATGGTCCTGCTTGAAAAAAAATTGCAAATGTATGTTTGAAACTTGCCATAAACTGCAACCGTAGATCACACATTCTGTCCCAAAATTGTTTTTGCTCATTTATTATATACCGTATTTCACAAATTAGAATTTTTTTAAATTTCAAAAACATAGTCTAGAAAAATGAAACCAAAAGTATATTGTCAACTTGCTGTGAAACATGACAAAAATATAGTTATACCTGCTTATTTCTTACAACGCAAACCAAAATGGAAATTTTAGAATTTTTAATTTGGGAAACATATACCATTATTTGAATAAACAAAAATTGTTTTTTGAAAAAATCTTGCCAATTTTGATCATTGCTAATGGAAAGCTTGAAACCGACTTCATTGATTCTTTTTAGAGCAAGACTCTAACATTAAAATGTATGAAAAAATATAATTTGGGGAGCTCCTTATAACCAAACTAAAGCCAGTTTTGTGGAAAAATAGTCCTTTTTTTTCATTGTTGCTACTAGCAAGTTCAAAACATACGGTTCAATTATTTTTTTCAATTCAATTATTTTTTCACAGTAGCAATCTAGTATTGAAAAGTAAAAAATATATAGAAATTTTAGATTTTGGAGCAAATGGTAAATAAACAAAAACCATTTCTAGGGCAAAATATGTTATTTACGGCAAGTTTAATTCATACATAGTCGATTATATTCCTATTGCAGGACTTCGGTGTTGAAATAAAGAAGGTATAAACAGTTTAGATAAATAAGGAGATTTCAGTCGATTTCTGCGGTATCGTCAACTTTATTGCATACTTTTTCATATTATTTTCTGAATCTGGACTGTAGCTTTGATATGCATGAAATATAACATTTCAAAAATTTTGTTGGGAACATGGAATAAGTTAAAATTTAAGTTCAAAACATTTAACTGTATAATAAATAAAACAAATTTTTAGTTACGCGATCTCAAGGCATCCATGTTGGGCAAGGCACCTGCGACATATTGTTATAGAATTTTTTTAGCGACTTATCTCAGAGAATTGCATGATTTGAATTGGCGGCAAGTGTAACCCAGGCACAATGTTAACTGCCAGTAGGCTAATGACTGAAATGAGCAGGCTAAAGTTTAAAATTTTGAACGTTGCATACTACCATTAGTAATTTACTTTGAATGTAAAGTCAAATATTATTGGTGGTTTTTGACAGATGGCTGCCGAATGCTTCCAAATTCATTCATTTGAAATTTATTTATCTGTATTTTTCTGCTACTGTCCCAACATTAGTTTTCAGCATCAATGTTGTTTTGTTTGCTGGAAATGAGGTTCAGTTATTGTCCCACCTTTCTCTGTTTATTTCATTAGTTTAGCCCATGGTTAGTTTAAAATCGACAAGAGCATAAAACATGTATTTCCATTCATGTGAGCGCCTTTTTGAACAAACTGTTCGATTAAGATTTTGATTTCTGATAAGGACAAATCTGAGTTTGACAAGGGCCACACTGTTGCACCATGGGTTGGGGCCCATTGGCTGCCTGTTGCACAGCCCTGGTATATAGAATGGGAAACATAATTGCAGTAAACAGATCAAAGATTTAGTGGCATAAAATAACAGACTACTTACTACCTGCAGAGCTCTAAATCTTTGTTCTGAAATACTTTCAATTGTTTAACTGATGTATGTTCCATTCGCAAGGTAATATTTTCATTTATCAGTAATTGCCTGTTGAAAGCTGTTTTCAGAACGAAGCTGTAAATCTTGGCAGTGTGCATCGTGCTAAGCGTTAGGGTCAGGGATGCGCTCTACATCGCACACCTGGTGATTCTGCGTTGGTTCGCGAGTTTGAATTCTATGGGGAATATTTATGTGCAAGAGGATTGCTGGATTCCTCACCGCTGTGGGTGGTTACAGCTTCATCTGAAGCAAATTACTGGCTAAATAGTCCCACACTCAAGTCTATGCTAAGTATGATTACTAACAAGTATTCGATTCTTATCCGATTCCTAAATTTTCGATTCCGAATCTCGATTCCTCGACATAGCTTGCCGAGAAAACATACCCTTAAATCAAACAAGTGAGCGATGTTCGAATAAATGGACACGAAAGCCTAAACCAACAAGCATGGATTTTTAATCTTGATTTCAAGATGATGGTAGCATGTTCTCAATACTAAGGATAGGATTTACATATTTATCCCGGGGGAGAGGAAAGCCGATAAGACGGCTCATCCATATGGCGAACCACGGCCTCTCGTCCGGTTACAATTCCAAGTCGGGTATGGGATTAGTTTTTACTGTATTGTTTGTTTTCGGAAGCATGGACTTGGTAGTGGAGGAAACCGTAACCAACCAGCGGTTACGTGAAACACCCAACGACGGCGAGGAGTCCAGCAATCCTCTCGCACATAACCATCCCTGCATGGGATTCGAACCTGCGAACCCATGCAGGGTGATTAGAGGTGCGGTGGCGAACGTATTCCTAACGGTTAGCCCGTTGAGCCACACCGCCGCGCCGGTACTAAGCAAACTTCAGTCCTCGTTCTTGTCTGTTACATACTTTGAATTGTGTGCTCGTGAACTAGCCTATTCACAATTCAAAGTATAATCTATAAAAGGAAAAGAAACAGTTGAAATAGACTAGAGAAATTTTATACTATTATACAATATGTGTTATTTTAATACAAGAAGTCTCGTATGCCATACTGACTGTCACTACCTAGTGGTGGCACATTGTGTCGACCTCTCTGCAAGGGCACGATAACAATAACTCAGTTGGAAGACTTGGAAACAAATGGTAAAAGTCAGAAACAGTTTATACTTGGAACGATTGACAACGAAAGAATTTTGTTGAAAGAAATTTGAAAAATTCGACATGGTACCGGCAATAATATTGAGGAAACATGGTATTTGAACTGGACACAGGGAGAGCGAGGCCTGATTCAATGTATTTTATGGAAAAAGCATGCATACTTTGGGTCGGTTACTGGTGTCAGATCTATCTGTCTATGTTAATTTAATGACTGACCATCATTCGCCAATGCTCAAGATTTCAAATTTTTGAGTGAAAACTATCTAAATCCCAACCACAAGAAGCAACGCCCGAAACGAGTTTTTATGTTTGTTGTTTACTTTTTGTTTTGTTTAATCAGCAGATAAAACAGAAGCTAATCACTTAAATGCTATTATTGGGATTCACATTTCGGCACAGGCACCGTTACATGACTTCAAATTGTTTTCACCACTTTCGGTCATCAAAATTTATTTAAGCTTTGCCCCTGAATATTACTTTCTCGTGTTTATGTACATGCTCTTTATTAATTTTTTCAGTATAATTGTGGGTAAATGGGCACGAACGTTCGCTATAAACCTTTCTTTAGGTTTTGCTCATTTTCTCGTCGCCCTGTTCTGTCTTCTGTGTCTTTTATCTTGCGTTCTGTGTTTGTCAGGTTGTATACGAAAGATCAAAATAAAATTGTACTGTATATTAATAGTATCAAACAATTTGGTTAAATCTGCATCAAGCTTGAATGGACATACAATTTGTATAATCAATATGTATGGCTCAAACGTTCATTGGAGGGAATCAAATTTTGAAATCTAATTTATCAATTTATGAAATTTTAATTATGCCCTCACATCATGCCATATTTTCAAGATAGAATGTTCTAAGATTCTCAATGAAATTTCAAACTTATCATCATCAATATCTATCATTTTGGGTCAGCCCTTGAAATCTTTAATGATGTTTCACACTTGTGCTACCACAAAAAAGATTTAACAATTTGATTTCAATAGAGTAGTAATTGATAATATTTCCTAACCCTAACCTGGTACACATACTAGATACTACGTTCCGGTGTCCGATGTGTACCAGGTTAGGGTTAGGCCATAATTTTATTTCAATTTTCCTTATTTTTGTTCCATTACGAGTTAGAGGATTAGCCGAGTGACTCGCATAATATTAGTACCTGAAACCATGGCCTAACCTAACCTGGTACGCATACGTCGTTTCCGTGTTCGCCATCTTGGTTTACATAGTGCGGGAGCACCCCCAAAAACAATTCACTGACTTACGGTACATAAAAATTTAAAAATTCTCTAGTAGTTATATGAAGTTAATCAAGCAGAAATTTTATTAAACAAAATAATAAGAATCATTAGGTCTGTGAAATTGTGATTGTGAAAATCTCTAAGCAGAATTAGGGGCTGGCTAAAGGCAAAGACAAAAGTTTTCTCAACACGGAGTAGACTCAGAGCCTGGTATTATGTGTCAAGAGCTATAAAGTATATTAATAAGTAATTAATTAGTACCTCACTAATAAGTTTGAAGCTTGTTTATTCTCATATAGTAAATAAAAATAAGTATGACAATACATTTCATAATTAACAACATTTTGCATATTATAAATTACGTTTTTAGGATCAAAGCAGAGAATTGTGGAACAAGTTGTCTAGTTACTCTGGAAATCCTGGAAAGAGATAGAAATGTTTTGATAGGCTAGTTTTCTGCTGACTCATCGCTTTCACTTCATAATTAAGAATGACATTGCCAGCCTTATCTTTTTCACTGTATAATGCTGTTTTTTGTTTCATCGCTTGATTTACAGTTGTCAGCATTTCAGCGACATGGTGCTCTGCTGCTTGACGCATGAAGACATTTGTTATTGCATTAATGAACCAGGAGCCGTTTTCGATATCTCGAAAAGAAACATATTCTTCATGTGTAGGATATGCAACAAAAATATCAGAAGAGGATGGCAAATTTTCAGCGCCATCTATTTGAACGCTAGCTTTTCTGAAGATTTCCATGCGAGTTTCTATCATTTTATCATCAGCTGCAATAGTGCCTTTATCTTTTTTTGGTCCCCGGCAAAATTGAAAAATGAAAAACTTTGGAATGTTGCGCAAGTTTACATTCTCGATGTTGAAGAACATTTTCTCGATTTCTTTAACTTCCACACATTTATGATCACTGCCATTAAAAACCAGTTTTTCATCGAGGATCCCGCCGTGAGTCATGACCACTATCACAATGAAACTATACTTTGTCGTAACTTTACTCACTTCACGAAGCAAATCGCACATTTCTTTTCCAGTTTTATCACTTTCCCAAGGTTTGGGGAAAATTTTATTTCCATATAATTCGCATCCAAATTTCTGCCAAAGAGTTGTCATGTTTTTCACATCTATCTCAGCCCCTTTTCGCTCATACATGGTGCCTTTAAAAGTGTTGTTTAAAATCAAAGCCAAGCCTTTTGGTTTAGTAATATTGTAGATAAACTTATCTGTGAGACTTCTCTCGTAATCATTTCTCTCACAAGGAATCACATCAATCTTTTTCACAAGGCCGCAAAAGTCTTTAATGTCAGCTAATGTAAGTTCAGTATGACGGATTTTATTTTCTCTTGGTGAACGCAGTGGGAACTTGAATTTTTTTATCTCTCTGTGCAATGAAGTCTTCTTCATTGCACATTCTATGACAATTTGAGGATATTTCTGCAATTCAGGAAGAAGTTCAAATTCAAAGTCATGTCTGTCCATCCTTAAAAAGTCACCATCTACAGAAACCCTATATTCATTGGGTTCATTGAACCAAAAGTTTTCAGTGTTTCCTTCAACTCGTAGTTTGACATGAATTGTGTCACCATGTCTTAGAACTAACTGGTTAAATCTTGCTGGGATAAGTCGTGCTCCTAGTCCCTCATAATACGCTTTAACATTACCTTCATTGGTCGAATTGCGACTGAAAAATGTAAAGTAAACACAGTTGTTGCCGAAGAGATAAAAAAAGTTGTCTTTGACAACTGGGGGATTATAAAAGAATCGTCCAATAGTGCCAATTACTGGACTGAACTCTTGACAGCGGAATTCTATAGTTCCATCATGCGTGACTAAATCAGGTTTAATAATGTTCCAGTCAGTGTCATTAGTAAAGTGAAGTATGTCAACGTCCTCCATCTTAAGGTCGACACGCCATGACTTCATTTGTACTATTGCGCTTTTGCGTAATGTTGATTCTGCACTGATGTCAAGAGATGGTGTGATTGCGACGTATTCTTTGGGGCATATTAAATTGTCCAATCCAACTGACATCCAGACCTTTGTTGGTTCACTGAATGTTCCATCCGGAAAAGTCACTTTGCATTCGGTAATGTTTATTGTATCCCCTTCAACTTGAATGTTTTCGACTAAAAACATTTTGATTTTACTGTTAATAACAACTAAGCAAAAAAAGTGTTTATTAAAACGTTGTGATTCAAATCTATAAGCATGCTACTAGACTATATCTTTCTTGATCATTCTATGTCATGATGCTTTTATTCAAAACCAAAAACATAATTTTTTTTTTTTTTCAGGTTATAGCTGTGATATCATTGAATACATATATACAGGATGTTAAAAAAGCTATGCAAAATTAAGGTATAATTTTTCGTCATGGCAACTTTTAAAAAGCGTCAGTCGTGAAATGTTTAAATGGCATTTCACTGTAATTCAATACTGTTGAAATGTTTTAAGTATAATTTCATCTTAACTTCTGTTAATTTTGCATCACTTTTTCAACACCCCGTACTAATTAAGTTGTTATCAAGCTAGTGTGATGGACTGGTCGTTAAAGTGTTTGACTTATCTGTGTTGACATCGCAGATTATTATGTATCGGATTAAAATCTCATGATCCTCACCTGGGGTCTGATAAATTGGGTGGGCAATGGGTACTGAATATGCAGATAACTGCCAATAACGCGTGCAATTGCAACTTAATTTAGTACTTATTAAAAATATATTTAAAGTATATTAGTAAATTAAAAACACATATTCATCGCCTTGTTTTATTATTAATTTAATTGTGATCATTTTAATCTGCAGTTGTGTCGACGAAATAAAAGCAATATTACTGAGAAAATATCATGACAATCCGTTGACACAAAATTGCGTGGTAAAGTGCCCGATTATATTTTGTTTTGATTCGTATTTTTGTGAATTCGACAAATCTGAGCTGTTCGTACAACACCTACAGCAGTACTATACGTACCAATGTGGAGTCAGTAAAGCAAAGAATCCTAAGGGAAAATGTCCTGGTACGTAAACTACGGCAGCACCCAAAATCTTGCGATTTGCAATGTCTAAAGAAGCGTTTTTAATCGGTCGCTGACCATCATAAAACAAAACTTTCAGTGTTCTCCGTTTTATTTTTAGTATGTTGTATTGCCGCTTTTCAATTTAGAATATTTGGGTTGCCACCATTGACACCTACCTGAAAAAAAAATATTCCTCGTTGTTCGAACGCGCGAGAAACACCACTTAGGTATCTATTGACGCGTGTGCAGACTCGTGTGTTTTAGTCGGAAATCTGCAAGTGGGTTGTGAAATTCAATCGTTTGATCAAGCGACGCGCAATGGAGCTGTCGCGTCACTTGTTACCGAATTTTTGAATAGTAAATTGCTATTCTAATGGTTGAATATTCGAATATATGACTCGATTAATGTTATGTGAATAAACTTGCTTTTTATGTTTTATGTAAATTCCAATGTAAATCGTAAATTGGCTGATGGTTGAGTTTCGCAAAAACGTTTGCGGCCCGCAGTGAATTTATGACTCGTTGCGGACTCATTCAAACACTCCGTGGACTGATTTGAGACCTCAGACTCGGGATGGGAAACACTGTTCTAAAGACACATGAAAAAGTGAATCCGCGATCTAATTTTTTTGATTGAAAAGCGGTAATATAAAATACTGAAAATAAAACTGTTAACAACATAAGTTTTGTTGAGTCCCGCGACAGTCTAAAAGCGCTTTTCTAGGCATTGAAAATTGCAACATTTTATGTTTGGTCGCCGGAAGGAACATACCGTCACTAAAATCGAGACACGGATAATAGTGGGCGGGATTTTATTTACTTTTTATCCATTACATTTAAGTTGTCGTCAAAAATTTTCCTGTTATCATTAATTAAACAAGGTTGGAAACGTGATTTTTTTCCCGGTTTGTGATGATATATAAGATAATTATTCTGAAGTACATCGATTAATTTTTATTGTACTGAAATAAATTTCCCTCCATGAGAATTTACAGTAGATTTACAGAATTTTCGAAAGGTTTTATCTTTAAAAATAACGGGAGTGGCAGCATTGCGATTGAACGTAGTCAGTGTTACAAGTACATCTCAAATTTATCGAATTCGCAAAATAGAAAAAGGGCAGTTTACTACACATTTTTATGTCGGCGATATTGCGTGGTGTTTTAGAGTGGCTCCTGTTTTGTCGACGCAACCACAGGTTAAATTGAAGACAATTAAATTAATAAAGCAGGACATTTTAAATATGCCCTTATCGGTAATGGATTGGTTACTTTACACAGGAGAAAAATCCTTTTTCGGCTCTTTCGGTCGGCTCTTTCAACAAGTGGCATTGTCGCGGCGACTGTTCGGCGTGGATTTCTAGGCGGTGAATTTGTATTTTTGATTTATTGGTATACTTTATATCTATTTTCATTGTATGAAGTAAAATTGTACTAAACGTGATTTAATATCAGATATTGAGATTTTACTAACATCGATAACGAGGTAGCAAGATTGCAAAAATACGTATCAAAATTAAATACATCAGGCAGCTTATCTCGCATTTTTATGTCCACATATTGCCGTGGTATTTTACTGCAGTATTGTTTTTAATTTAACGTTGGACACAATTAAATTAATATATAATGACATTTTAGAATCTCGTAGTTGTCATGGATTGAATATTTTATGCGACAGAAAATTCATTATGCGCTGAAAAGGCGGCTCTATTACAAGCGCGTGATCGTGGTGACCTTTACAGACGGCACTGAAAATTTGAAAAAAAAACACTAAAAAAAAAACACTCCAAAAGTGCTTCACAGACCCCAAAAGGTCGAACCCCAGTTTGGGAACCACTGCTATAGAGTATAGACTAGTGATTGCTGTAAATCCCAATAGTCGCAATTTAGTGCATACTGTAATTCTTACTTGCTTTTCTTTAATTTCAATATCATGCTGTAGTCCAGGGGTGTGCAAACTTTATTACAGGAGGGCCAGAAACGTGCCTTTGCTATGTTTTCTCAGCAGTGTGTATTTTGCAACAGAATTCTGCTTGCTAGTATTGCTAATATGGCAGTGACACCCAGGTACTGGTACAGTATAGGCTTTGCGGTGTAAAGAGATTGGAATTGCTCGCACGTACCAGATAAACGAAACCAAAAAATCGTTTCGTGGGCCACGTAGGCCACAATTTGCACACCCCTGTGCTAGTCGATCAAGATATAATCCATGACAAAACTGGAATAAATTGTTACAATGAGTTGCTCTTATCGTATGTGTATTATTTACAGGAGTCCATGACAAAAAAAATTAAAATCTACATAATCCTGAAAATATACCTTTTATAACATTCTTTGACTGCGTTTTGATGCCAGAGTTTCCCCATTCATCCTTGGCCCAGACTTGGAAACGATATGTTTTACCAATTGTAGGTGACTTCATTCTATACTGAGAAATCTCTGTAGTGTGAGTCTCTCCAAGTTTCACATCATCACAGAAGATTTCTATGTTGTATAGAACGTTTCTGTCAGATACTGCATTCCAAGTCAAAAGAATGTCGGATCCACTTCTTTGAGATGAAACATTTTCAATTTGCGGCAAAGCTAAAAATAAAGTAGTGAGTTAGTAAATATAGTAATCAGTAATTTATTTCTTAAACATGCTGAAAGTACAAACTCGTACATACACAAATTAAAGGAAATATAAAAAAGTCGCAATCCAGGGTGAAAGGAGATGTCGAAAACCAATACTGGTTATCCAGCGACTCCACCCTTGGGGAAATCTAACAGAAACATGATAGATATAATAAAATCGAACTAAATATGTATGTTTTTTGATAAATAAAATGAAAAAGCCAAAGCGACCTGGTACATACCAAACAATCACTGTTTCAACAAAAGAAAGTCGATTCCGTGCACCACAGTCTACTTACCATGAAAATAAAAGTACGAGACCAGACAGTCTCACAGTGTTGTCTTGGCGAGATACCGTAAAAAGAGTAGGCTATAGTAAAGGGCATCGAACGTTTGATTGTGTGTACATATACCATCAAGTGTACAAGTAACAAAATAATGACACTTTTTGGCAGGAAGAAACCTGTAGTATTAACCCTAACATGGTACCGTGTACTAACAAGTGTTTTGATGCTGGAGTCAAAGGATTTACGAGGACATGGATATTTATGAACCATAGAAAAATTATTCCTCGTTGTTCGAACTCGCGAGAAACACCACTTAGGTATCTATTGACACGTGTGCAGACTTGTGTGTTTTAGTCGGAAATCTGCAAGTGGGTGAAATTCAATCGTTTGATCAAGCGACGCGCAATGGAGCTGTCGCGTCACTTGTTACCGAATTTTTTAATATTAAATTGCTATTCTAATGTTGAATATTCGAATATATGACTCGATTAATGTTATGTGAATAAACTTGCCTTTTATGTTTTATGTAAATTCCAACGTAAATCGTAAATTGGCTGATGGTTGAGTTTCGCAAAAACGTTTTCGGCCCGCAGTGAATTTATGACTCGTTGCGGACTCATTCAAACGCTCCATGGACTCATTTGAGACCTCAGAATTGGGATGGGAAACACTGTTCTAAACACACATGAAAAAGTGAATCCGCGATCTAATTTTTTGGATTGAAAAGCGGTAATATAAAATACTGAAAATAAAACCGTAAACAACATAAGTTTTGTTGAGTCCCGTGACAGTCTAAAAGCGCTTTTCTAGGCGTTGAAAATCGCAACATTTTATGTTAGGTCGCCGGAACATACCGTCACTAAAATCGAGACACGGATAATAGTGGGCGGGATTTTATTTACTTTTTATCCATTACATTTAAATTGTCGTCGAAAATTTTCGTGTTATCATTAATTAAACAAGGTTGGAAACGTGATTTTTTCCCGGTTTGTGATGATATATAAGATAATTATTCTCAAGTACATCGATTAATTTTTATTGTACTGAAATAAATTTCCCTCCATGAGAATTTACAGTAGATTTACAGAATTTTCGAAAGGTTTTTCTTTAAAAATAACGGGAGTGGCAGCATTGCGATTGAACGTAGTCAGTATTACAAGTACATCTCAAATTTATCGAATTCGCAAAATAGAAAAAAGGCAGTTTACTACACATTTTTATGTCAGCGATATTGCGTGGTGTTTTAGAGTGGCATTTTAAATATGCCCTTATCGGTCATGGATTGGTTACTTTACACAGGAGAAAAATCCTTTTTCGTTGAAAAGGTCGGCTCTTTCAAGAAGTGGCATTGTTGCGGCGACTGTTCGGCGTGGATCTCTAGGCGGTGAATTTGTATTTTTGATTTATTGGTATACTTCATATCTATTTTCATTGTATGAAGTAAAATTGTACTAAACGTGATTTAATATCAGATATTGAGATTTTACTAACATCGATAACGAGGTAGCAAGATTGCAAAAATACGTATCAAAATTAAATACATCAGGCAGCTTATCTCGTATTTTTATGTCCACATATTGCCGTGGTATTTTACTGCAGTATTGTTTTTATTTTAACGTTGGACACAATTAAATTAATATATAATGACATTTTAGAATCTCGTAGTTGTCATGGATTGAATATTTTATGCGACAGAAAATTCATTATACGCTGAAAAGGCGGCTCTATTACAAGCGCGTGATCGTGGTGACCGTTACAGACGGCACTGTAAATTTGAAAAAAAAACACTAAAAAAAAAACACTCCAAAAGTGCTTCACAGACCCCAAAAGGTCGAACCCCAGTTTGGGAACCACTGCTATAGAGTATAGACTAGTGATTGCTGTAAATCCCAATAGTCGCAATTTAGTGCATACTTTAATTCTTACTTGCTTTTCTTTAATTTTAATATCATGCTGTAGTCCAGGGGTGTGCAAACTTTATTACAGGAGGGCCAGAAACGTGCCTTTGCTACGTTATCTCAGCAGTGTGTATTTTGCAACAAAATTCTGCTTGCTAGTATTGCTAATATGGCAGTGACACCCAGGTACTGGTACAGTATAGGCTTTGCGGTGTAAAGAGATTGGAATTGCTCGCACGTACCAGATAAACGGAACCAAAAAATCGTTTCGTGGGCCACAATTTGCACACCCCTGTGCTAGTCGATCAAGATAATCCATGACAAAACTGGAATAAATTGTTACAATGAGTTGCTCTTATGTATACTCGTATGTGTATTATTCACAGAAGTCCATGACCAACCAAAAAAATTAAAATCTACATAATCCTGGAAATATACCTTTTATAACATTCTTTGACTGCGTTTTGATGCCAGAGTTTCCCAATTCATCCTTGGCCCAGACTTGGAAACGATATGTTTTACCACTTGTAGGTGACTTCATTCTATACTGCGAAATCTCTGTAGTGTGAGTCTCTCCAAGTTTCACATCATCACAGAAGATTTCTATGTTGTATAGAACGTTTCTGTCAGATACTGCATTCCAAGTCAAAAGAATGTCGGATCCACTTCTTTGAGATGAAACATTTTCAATTTGCGGCAAAGCTAAAAATAAAGTAGTGAGTTAGTAAATATAGTAATCAGTAATTTATTTCTTCAACATGCTGAAAGTACAAACTATACAAACTCGTACATACACAAATTAAAGGAAATATAAAAAAGTCGCAATCCAGGGTGAAAGGAGATGTCGAAAACCAATACTGGTTATCCAGCGACTCCACCTTTGAGGAAATCTAACAGAAACATGATAGATATAATAAAATCGAACTAAATATGTATGTTTTTTGATAAATAAAATGAAAAAGCCAAAGCGACCTGGTACATACCAAACAATCACTGTTTCAACAAAAGAAAGTCGATTCCGTGCACCACAGTCTACTTACCATGAAAATAAAAGTGCGAGACCAGACAGTCTCACAGTGTTGTTCTGGCGAGATACCGTAAAAAGAGTAGGCTATAGTAAAGGGCATCGAACGTTTGATTGTGTGCATACGAGGTAAGACTAAAAAGAAACGGGACTGATGTCACAGATTGCGCAACACGATTAGCCATCGGTAATCAACACTTTTGCAGTGTGGCGTAATATGTGTTCTTTGTTTAACAGCTGTTTTGACACAATATCGCAATTATTTTTGCTTTTCAGGATCTATAAGTGAATGTGATAAATTTCTTGTTGAAAAAAAAATGCTGTGCGAGGTCTGATTGAGTTTTTTGGCGATGGGGGGTTCAATTAACGAATGACGACTGAGCAAAGAATTAACATTAAATTGTGTTAAACTTGGAAAAACGGCGACTGAGACTTTGCAGGTGTTGCGTGATGTTTATGGAGATTCTTCCATGTCCAGAACAAGAGTTTTTGAATGGCACAAGCGATTTGTGGAAGGCAGGGAGGATGTGGAGGATGATCCGAGGTTAGGGAGGCCTTGCACTTTCACTACTGATACCAACATCGAAAAGGTTTGGCAGTTGGTTCGCAGTGACCGTCGCTTAACAATTCGCGTCATTGCCAACGAAATTGGGATGGACAAAGAAACGGTCCGCACCATTTTGGTTGACACTTTGGGAATGCGAAAGGTGTGTGCCAAAATGCTGCCAAACGCTCTTGAGTTGACTGAGGAGCAGAAAGCTCAACGATTGAATGCATGCCGAGTTGACATGCATTTTTCCAAGTTTGACACAAAATTTAATGTTAATTCTTTGCTCAATCGTCATTCTGCAATTGAACACCCTATCGCCAAACAACTCAATCAGACCTGGCACAGCATTTTTTTTCAACAAGAAATTTATCACATTCACTTATGGATCCTGAAAAGCAAAAATAATTGCGATATTGTGTCAAAACAGCTGTTAAACAAAGAACACATATTACGCCACACTGCAAAAGTGTTGATTACCGATGGTTAATCGTGTTGCGCAATCTGTGACGTCAGTCCCGTTTCATTTTAGCCGCACCTCGTATATACCATCAAGTGTACAAGTAACAAACTAATGACACTTTTTGGCAGAAAGAAACCTGTAGTATTAACCCTAACATGGTACCGTGTACTAACAAGTGTTTTGATGCTGGAGTCAAAGGATTTACGAGGACCTGGATATTTATGAAGCATAAATATGTATAACCTGCTATTGCAAAAATTCTGTTCTAGATTCTTCAATTTCCCATAATTCATTAGTTTCATATTGCATAAGTTACACTCTGAAATCTAATATATTTCAAGTTAAAAAATTAACTTTGTTTACATTTATGCTCGCGCAGCGCAAAACACCAAACTACTTTCGATTTTGCACTTCAGGCTAGTCCAAGCTTGCAAAGTTGGAGGGCCGCAATTTCAAGGAGGCCTTGTGGGTCGCAGTCGGAGAAAATCCAGAATTGATGGAAATACTGTGAGTTTAAAATATTAAAGAATGACAATTTACCGTTCTAATTAGCTTATTGTTATGTTGCATGGGTGGTGTTTTCTATTTCATGGAAAATATATAAAGCGTTTAGTTAGCCTTAACTCTTTGAACTCGGAATCCCCAGAACGACGCTACTCTCTCACCCTGACCTCCCACGGAGTGGCATCGATTCGACGTGTTAAGTATTTAAAATATTCCCAACTTTAAATCAATGTAACTTCTGAACCTTTGGATATCAGATGGTCTGTAATATGTCATATGAAAGCTTATCTAGTCTTCGATTTATAACTGACATCATTTTTTACGAGATGTTTTTAGAAGATGTGTAAGCTTATTTTTAGTCCCATCTACTATTTTTTGTATTTTGGTGAGATTTGACACCTTTTTTAGAAATGTGTCATCAATATATGTGAAATTTTGAAAAGTGTACAAAATTACCTTTCAGGGGATCTAAAAATGACTGTCTTAACTTACGCATAACTCATTTTATTGCAGAATTTGTGCTATCGATTCCAATGGTTTGTGAACAAAATTTATCAACTATTTTGACTCGGCCGCGGATAAAACCCTTATATTCAAACGAATCTTGATCGAAGATAGATAAAATTGCTAGAAATATAAATGCCATTTTATATACGTTTATTATCTGACTATGGGACGCAAATGAATGGCCAAATTGAAATACCTGTTCCTGATGCATTTATGAGGTTCCGCCGGAAACATCAAGGCTAATTCTTCACCGTTGGATATCATGAAAGTTGAAAAAAATCTGAAAACGGGAACGTGGAAGACATCATGGCACCGGTAGCTCACCTGGTTAGTGTTTCACATTTTGCGGCCTCATTCGATTTTCGAATACGCTGCATTCTTGATATCGCTATATTCACAATGGAATTTAAACGACAGCTTTTTCCAGAGGAAATATTGGATGGTATTCATCTGTCGGAAGAAGAAAATCTGAACGATTCCAACTATCCTGACAGTGACGATTTCGAATCGGAATTTGATGACGATCTGATGGAAGATGATGTTTTTACGTTAACGTCTGAGAACGTGTCGTCTTATAAACCGGCCAATAAGATGCCCGCAAGGGCATACGCAAACATGTCATCAGGAAATATTGAACCGGCGTGGGAATTTAAGACAGTCGACTGGACAGCTGATACTACCGGATTTACTGATAGACTGTTTTCTCCAACAAACATCCCTGGACCGAAAAACTTACCAACATCAATAAACGCTGACTCGACTCCAATTGAATATTTGGATGTATTATGGGACGCGAAAATTTGGGAGTCGTTGGTCAAGAAGACTAATCAGCACGCTCATTATGTATTGAGGAAAAATAGAGATCTAAAAGCTGCAAATTCAATTGCAAAGAAAAACATAACCTTGGATGAAATGAAATCTTTTTTGCTCTGCGGGCCACCATGGAAATGCTTTTGTATAAAGACCGGTACGAACAATACTGGAAAACAAAGGATGCTAGGATGACCTATACACCGGGATTTGCAGAAATCATGTCCCGAGACAGATTTCTCGCCATTTGGTCGGTGCTGCATTGCGTTGACGAAGATGATTCTACATTAGACAAAACAGACAAAATCTACAAAACACGGCCCATTTTCAATTCAATTTTGAAAAATTTCCAGCATTACTACACTCCGGGTTGCAATCTTTCACTCGATGAAGGTATGATCCCGACAAAGAACAAATTATCGTTTCGGCAGTACATTAAGGATGGGCCTACGAAATGGGGTTTAAAACTACAAATTTTGTCGATAATGTACTAGGTTTAATCAAAAACAAATTGAAGATTTGTCAATTACATTTGAGCAATTTTCAGAAGTTTTTTATGCTTTTTAATTTTGCCAATTTTCATAAGATGATCACAATATTTTATCTCAATTTTAAAATTATACTTATTCCTGTAGATTATCTTTTACACGATGTAAAACTTGTCTAAATATAATAAATGGTTCGCGAGATCGTGGTTCGTGAGGTTTCAAAGTTGCATACCTCTTACGGGATGCGAAAGCCGCTAAAGCGGCTTTCAGCGTCAGAAGACTTTCTCTGGAAAGTCGCTATAGCGGCTTTCAGGGTTCAAAGAGTTAAGTTCTTTCAAAAATTACTTCCACAGAAGTACAGTGGTATTATCCAATTCTGTAATATCGCTTCAAATTATAATCTTTTGAAATAAATATGAACACCAGTGACTGTGGTTTACATGTGTTGTGGGCAAGGAAATACGTTTCCTTCCAGTTTTCCTCTGTCACATTTCTTTTAACACTAATTTTATGATGAATTGTTATGTTTGACTAGTTTATAAATTGCAGTGTAAATAGACCTAGCGCTATCTCCAAAGAACAACCAAGTACATTAAAGTTGGGATTTGGGGACCTAGCTCAAAAAAACTCATTGCGCGGCACAAAGATAGCCCTGCATTTTGCCGCTACTACACATGGCCCGCTAAAATATAGGCACAAAAATGTTTCTCCAAATAAAGAGTTTGTTGCGACCTTAAGGTGTGAAATGGTGATGAAATTGTTCTGGGCGCCGCACGAAATGTACCATACCAGGGTTTGGACCACACTGTTATACTTAATTAAACGCAATCACACACGTATTATATGAACCATACTGCTCATAATATTTAAGTTTATGGACATGTGGCAGACTTACTATATACTCTTAGTTCATTTTCTTGTTGAATTTCTTCTAATTCAGTTGTAGGGATTTCGCTTCTGAAACAAAGTTTATGTACATAAGAAAACAAAGTAAATTTTCCTGACTGGATTTTAATTTGTTGGCAAAGACTGTCATGCTTATCTCTTAAAAATCACTTAAAACTAAATAATGGGATTTCAAATCCTCACACATTGGTTGAAAAGTTGGATTTGTCCATCATGCTAAGACAGTGGTTCTCAAAGTGCGTCGTTTGAATTTTTCTAGGGCGTCGCAAAACTTTTCCTCTTTAGCGGAATTAGACCTGCGGTTCGTAGAAAAAGTATAAATTCTCGATATTATCGTTTAAATCACACTTGAAAACTGAGGAAGATAATCAATTTAAAAATTATAACGATCAACCTAATTTATCCGAGACCTCACTAATGAATGTTACGGGTCATTCAACACTGTTCCAATTATGACATCACACACACTAGGTAGGCTTAAGTCACGCATGCCATTCATTTTTAATTTTTAATGAACATGGGCTTATCGACCGTTGCTGAGCATCGTTCAGCACTTTGCCTGCGTGTGGACTCAAACGGATATTCAATATTGACACCACTGCAGTTCTCTTCAGGCATAATTTAAATAAAATTCATTGCAAAAGAGGTCTATTATTGAAGGGTATCGAGAGGTTTTTCACGGGGAGTAGCAACTCGAACATATTTGATAGGCGACACAATAACAAGAAGTTTGAGAACCGCTATGCTGAAATATTAAAATCCATTAGGTGTTTATGAGTAGATTAAACCTAGCAGTGCCTCAAAAACAAGTTAGATATACAGCCATAATGAGATTCGGGCTATAACTTCAGTTGAATAATCTCAGATCCTAGTCTTTGTATGTGCTGTAAATTCAATCCTAATTATCATTTCAATTAGGGTGACTATAGGATAGGATTTACATATTTATCCCGGGGGAGAGGAAAGCCGATAAGTCGGCTTATCCATATGGCGAACCACGGCCTCTCGTCCGGTTACCATTCCAAGTCGGGTATGGGATTAGTTATATATTGTTTGTTTTCGGAAGCATGGACTTGGGTGGTCCAAGGTTGTTGGCTTCGAAGGCCACAAAATTATTTTTGCACTGTTCGTGGGGCAACGATAGTGCTAAGAATAGGTGAACAATGCAATACAAAAAAAAAACTCTCATTGTGCAAACACATTGATGAGTATTTGTCATTTATCAATCTAAAACATGCAAAAACCACCAAAAAACTTGCAAAAGTCTTCCTATAACTACATTTAGTGTAAGATTTCAAACTCTTCATAACGAAAAAAATGCCATAACACTAGTCAATTCAGGGACGTTAGTGGTATAAGAGTATGTCAAAAAAATTTTCTGATTAATTTCATGACAAAATATCATCGAATGCAATTTTTTGATTACACTCCAAATTCGACGCGGGCAACATATAATGAAGCGGCGAGCCATGTGTGGCCCGCGGACCCTAGTTTGGGAAACCCTGCTATAGACAATAAGTTTATTTCGTCATGCAAGAAATCAAAATAAATCATATTCTGAGACGAAGTAATATACAGGAAGTCACGAAAGGACAGAACTGGTCATCATGAGTCTGAGACACCAAGATTCCAAACAAGTCAAAAATAAAAATTAATAGTATAATTGACATTAGAAGAAACTTGGGTCTTTCAAAAAATGTAACACAGAGTATGTATTGTAAATATTAATAGGACTTATATATTTATCCCGAGGGGGGTTGAGGAAGCCGATAAGGCGGATTAATATTATGGGAAGCCACGGCCTTTCGTCCGGTTGCCAATCCAGGTCGGGTTTTAGATTAGTTAGCCAATATATATAATTGGAAAAATAAAAACTGCATAGAGGAAAAAAATTGAGACACACCAGTTATTTTAAAGACATGAAACTTATGGGCAAAAATGTTTTTAAGATGCAATTTTTGCAACTGCTTTAGGCTTATCTGGTCAAAATCTCAAAACAATAAGATTTCATAAAGATATTGTATTTCAACCATGACGAATTTAAATTCAGGCTACAACATTGGTCTGAACAAGGCTATGAACAAATCTATTAAGTTGAAATAAACTTGTTCCATAGATAAATTCAGTCAGACAAAGATCGAGTATTGATGGTAAGGATAATCACAATTAACACTCAAATATGAAACAAATATTTCCAAGATCAATATTTTTTAATCATGCTAATGATTTTCCTGACCTTGAACCTCCTTCTCCATCTGAAGTTCTTCTCCTCTTCTCACCAGTAGTTCTAGATGAAGTATCACCTTCAAAAAAAAATTGAATCATCACTCTCTGTGAAAAAAGCCATTTATATGAAGAATAAAATAAAGTTCCATATTCTTCTTAATGTTGTTCAGATTTTTCAAATTTATATTAATTTATTCCAGTTCTAAATGAAAATCATTGCATTTTATATTCCATGTTAGGCCACTAACAATTGTCTTCTGGTATACAATCTTTTTATAATTAGAAACTTGAATTAGCTATATAAACATGAAAACTTATTCATACAAATCACTGAAGTAACGACTTAACGACGCTCCCATAGTATGTGAACCAAGATGGCAGACACCGGAACGTAGTATGTGCACCAGGTTAGGGTTGGGCCGTAATTTCATTCCAAGTTTTCTTATTTTAGTTCTATTAAGAGTTCGGGGACTAGCCAAGTGAATCCCATATTATTTGTACCTAAAATTAGGGCCTAACCCTAACCTGGTACACATACTACTTTCGGTGTTCGCCATCTTGGTTAGCATACTACGTGAGTACCAACTTAACTATGCTGCAGATGCTGTTTATATATAAAGATAAAAAACAACAGGCAAGATCAAAATTTCAGAAATGAGAATACAGTACTTCAATATTAAAAAGGTAATCAAAATGGCGAAAAAGGAAAGGGGTGGTCAAAACAACTACTTTTACAGAGTTTCATTACTAATGTTAACAACCAATTAATTATTTTGAATTTATATTAATATATAATAGTTAACCATTTGTTTAAATAAATCATTTAAGGAATTCTAATATTAGCTAACCTAAAATATGAATAGAGGCTTCAATCCACCTCACTCAGACACTCACGAAATTTATTATTGTCTCAATTTGAATGCATTCTCTTATTTGTTCAGAGGCATGATATTCTCATTAATAGAGATAGTTTAAATCGTACCAATTTCATTGAAAGCATAGCCTATCTTGAAGAACACATGGATCAGATAACGTTATTGCCACGAGCTGAAGATCTCTATTATAGTCATAATCAATACAAGAAAACCGCTTGAAAAAGTAAGAAAATGTGCAGACTGTGTTAAACCAGGATGATTATGGTCTTTCCAGGTTTTGTAGCTTTTAACATAAGATTGCAATCAGTTTGACTAGACAGCGCAAGCAGCAAATGATTTTCCAAAAATCAGAGTCACTATCGGTGTACAAAACAATTGGTGGCAGTGTTTTCTTTAGTAGAAAGGAGATTCTATTATTCCATGAAATTTTCAATGCCTTATATTGCGATTACTGTGCCATGACTCAAATTGTTCCCCATCAACCATGAAATCCTAATCCAACAGTTTATGTTGGCAGTTCTGACAATAAAATTATGCAAGAAAGTAAATTATGCAACCACTAAACTGTTACACAAATGGGATTCTTTATTGCGGGAATTTTTAAGATCTTTATGTTTATGGAAAAGCTAAATTTTTTGACTGGCATAGCTAGATGTCTGGAGTTGGTTATATGACCCACCGGCAAAAAATGTTGCACACCCCCTGTATTATTTCAACATCTCAATGGTTCAGCACTTCCTCATAACTACAAGCATTCAACTCAGCCCAACGCCATTTGATTCTAATAATATGGCTGACTTACTATGCTGAGTTGGCTTTGCAAGTTGTTCCATTACTTCTTTATCTGGTTGTTCTGCTTCTTCTTCAGACAGTGGGAGTTCACTTCTGAAGATAAAATTGGAGAATAAAAATGTATTGTATTGTAATGTATATATTTTGAAAATGTATTGTATGCAAATGTATTGATTTTGATTCATTGGTTAAAATAACAGCCCCTATCACTCGATTTCAAAACCCTTCTCCCCTCACCCACAGCGTTAACCCTTTCCATGCGATTTTTATTTTTTATTAAATAATCGTTTTGCTACGCCGATTTTATGCATTTGTACCCCCACAACTAATCGATCGA